ACTGATATATTGCAGATTTAAACAGTGAGACTCTCAGATTTGATCAGCCTGGTCTTCAGCAGGGTTGTGAACAAATGAGCCAAAAAATACTATCAAAAAACACCCGAGAGTGTGAATATCAGGGTGCTATCTGAAGGGTGTGTTGTCCTCTCCGCTTCCCATTGTAACTTGTGGCTTACAATTTTTTCATAAGACATCACTGAGAATGAGTCAAACAATAGTGTACACTGACCTGCCAATGTCTGCTCCTTGTGTTGAGGTCTCTAAACATTCTCCTAAACTTACAAATGATGTTACTGCTGCAGATGAAAAAATAGATCTCAAAATAGGTAAAGATATTATTGTCATACACATGTGTTACATATTTAATTAAATAAATTTAGAAACTGGGAGAATGAGATTAGATGATTTATTAACAGGTAAACTCACTTCGTAGACATCCTTCATGTCCTGAAGACCTGACTGCCCCAAATCTCCTCAACCAAACAAACTCCACTACCCAACAAGCTTGTAGCTTAAACTATTGTTGTGTATAAATAAAGGCCATCTACCTATCTACTCCTGTTCTCTGTGCAGATGAAGTTGGAGAAAGATCTGGAGGGAGGAGGGTTACACAATCCCCTTCACTCTGCCCCTCTGCCCCTCCCCCCTTCCAATGGCCCCACCCTCACCTTTTGAGCACCTCAATGGATAAGCCACTTCAGTTAAAGTACTACAAATTTTACACTCCATGGCTTAATTACTCCAGGCTTAATTACAGGGCGCAATCCATTCAACCAAAATTTCCGGAAATTTCGGTTTAAAACTGAATGGATCAGTTCGGTTCAACCGGAAAAGTTTCGAAAAAACCAGCTCACCTTTCGAGGTGGACCACTGTTCTCGGTTGCACCGGTCCGATTGAAATGGACCGTTCCATTTGACCATTCCGACCCATTCTCAATCCCAGTACCTCACTGTTCGGTATTGTCCATGTACAACATGGAGGAAAACACTTATTATACAGCTTTTAGGGATTGTTAACAGAGGATCCATAGGTGTTACTCGTACTTCCAAGTGCAGTTACAACAGCTCTGGAGCTGCTTCGCAAGCCAAGTGTATGTTTTGGCTGTTAACGGCTCTTAAATACGATTTATTTCCCGAGAGAATTTGGAATATTCTTTTCGTCATTCGAAAGTGGTGTTTGAACTCATATGGCAAATATCTGGGAATCTGGAACGGTCCGCTCAAAATAATACTACGCTTGAAACAGCTCACACAATAATCTCACTGATATCACCGTCGAAATCGTCATCTAGCTCTAGTACGAGCAACAGTGATCAAACTCGTTTTGCGAGTGGAATGGAATGAGACTGTCCGGACGCGTCGCGATCCATTCGACACCAAGAAATTTTCGAACCTCAGCCCGGAAATTTTGGTTGAATGGATTGCGCCCACAGTGTTCATGCAAAGATATAACTTAAGAGGCCTCTACTTGTAGCGAAATGACTCGATTTAGCGCTCTTGTTCCACTTGATCCTCTTGTTCCACCCATGCAAATGGTCGCCCTATTCTAACATAGTCCGCATACTCCACCCAGTGAGTTCACGTGGCGTCATCAAATTCTCAAATTTATCAAAAACTAAAGAGCCCCTAAAGGTTTTATCCTCATCAGTCATAAGAGGTACTAAATTTATATATGTTTACAACTTTCCAGCTCAACAGCGTCCTTCGTTTGGAGAATTTTATAAGCACCCCATCCAACATGATACAAGAAAGTTTACTTACAATTCACGCAAATCACTTCAAGCTCTCGGTCGGAAGAAACCCACGCACAAGAGTCTCCAAAGATGTTATTACAAGCACTGCACTGAAACACAACAGGCAAATTTTCCTCTGTTTTCAACTTATCCACCGCGGTGACATCAGACTCCTCGAGCGAATTTACCGCCATTTTCTTTCGACAGACGAGATCAGCGGTCGGTACGTCATGTAAAACAATAATAAAGCTGATCGTAGCTACTTTCTACTGGTTCTTACATGACATTAATCTCAAAATGAGACTTCGCCAAAGTCTGAAAAAACATGTGGAAAGTATAGTAATTTTCACTAGTCATTCGCGCAAAGAAAAACAGAAAAAAAAAGAAAGTAAACGGCATGAATGAAACTTGGAGAGATGCAGTGTTACTAGCTTTGAGTCATGCGTGCAGCCAAGATCCTTCGCTCATAAAGGAAGCCGAGGGAAAGCTCAAGGC